TGGAGTTAATTAAAAATGAAAGTACGCTATCACCGTTTCATTTATAACATTTCTAGAGGATATTGTTCAGATCACAGTGACTTCGTTTGTTTGTAAAAATCTGCTTGTGGCTCTTGAAGACTTTGTAAATTGCTGTGAGGGGCGGCATGGGCTCTTCCATGGCAGAAGTTTGCCGAGGCCTGCCGTAGATGCTCTAGTTACCTACAGGGACAGGATGGGCAATGATCGCCCACAGGGACAGGAGCCCAGGTTGTCAGTCAATTCCCAGGGGCCGTTTGTTTGGGCAGGACCGATCAATTCCCTGAGGCCATAGTCAACAGGTGCAAGGTCACCCCACCCCCAGGACACCAAGAAAAGTATACGTCTTCATGGTCTTTGGGGGTCACTGGCTCAGTAGTTGAGACCACTGAATCGGCTGGTTAAAAAAAAAAGAGTGTTTCTGAAGATGGGAGCAAAGAACAGCATGAAGCTTTTGTAACCCACAGTGTCATTTGTGCACGGGAAAGCCCTGGGTCCTGTATGAGATGATCACCCCCTCCCTCCCCACCCCTGACTGGTGCACCTCCAGAATCAGCTCCCTTCTCTGTAAAGAGAGGGAAAGGCAGATTGCCTGTAGACACCAGTACACACACGACTGTAGCCACGGTAAGTGGAACTAGCTCAGGGTAAAGTAGCCAGTGGACTGGATTCAGGGCATGTGGATGGCTCCAGAGTCCTGCTCGAGGAGGGGCTAAGCATACGCATGTGATCCACAAGACCAGCAGTTTGAAACCACCAGCCGCTCCTCTCGGAAGCTCACAGGGACAGTACTACCCTGTGCTTCAGAGTGACATTGAGTCAGCTTGGACTCAATGGCCGTGAGTTTATCTTTGTTTTGTTGGTGAATGGTCATGACCATGAGTCCTGGCCTTTAGCCCTTTGCACAGACAGTTGGTGGTGAATCAGCCAAGGGCATAAGGAGCAGAGGCTGCTGCTGGGCGAAGTCCTCTGTAGGAGAGCCCTGCCATCCGGGCTCGCCTCCAGCCTTGGACACTGACCTGTTTCTCTCACGGCAGCCCTTCCCTCTTTCCCGCTGGGGACCAAGGAGCAGCTGCTCTTGCACAAGGTGGAAGGAGAGCCGCATTCTTTACTCTCTATGTACCTCAGGCAAATTTAAAGTCACTGGGCATGAGTTGTACTGCTAACTACAAGTTCAGCAGTTCGACACCACCAGCCGCTCCTCAGAAGAAAGACAGGGCTTTCCACACCCATAAAGAGATACAGTCTTGGAAACCCACAGAGAGCAGTTCTACCCTGTCCTATCGGGTCACTATGAGTCGGAATCAACTGGGTGGCAATGATTTTCTTTTCTGCAGGGGGATGTGGGGTGGGGGAAGGGGAAAGGGCTGTATCCAGATATGTATTCATGGGAATAGGAACTAATCACGTGCAGCAAGTGACTCTGTCGAGGTCATAGGGGTTGACTACTTACTTTACACGAGGACCTGATAACTCTTTCAGGAACACGATACAGTCCTGCAAAGCTCCAGGGTGACAGAGTGGGCTCCCGGACCATGCTGGGGCCTGCTAGGGCATGGCTGAGGATCTGGAACGTCTGGAACCCTGGTGGGGTAGTGGTTACAAGTTGGGCTGTCATCTGCAAGGAGAGTAGTTCAAAACCACCAGCCGCTCCTTGGGGGAACAGCGGTGCTTTCTACGACAGTGGCGTCTCAGACACCCACAGGGGCAGTGCTACCCTGTCCTGTAGGGTCGCTGTGAGCTGGCATCCGCTGGGTGGCAGTGAGTTTATTGTTTGGGTTTTCTGGCGTCCACAGCTGTTTCTCCTGAGCTGCTCCCCTCAGCGATGGGCCGGCCCCCTCCTCCGCCCTTTGCTCCACAAAAAAATCAAATCAACTAACAAAACCCGTTGCCATGGAGACCACGTGAGTGTCTGAGACCTGTTTTCGAGGGCCGAGTTTTCAAGCCCATCACCTGGCCTTTCTACTCAGGGAACTCTGGGTAGGCTTGACCGTCTAACCTTTCCGTTATCAGCAGAGAGCAACGCCACCTGCCCTCACCTCCACCGTCAGTGGCGCTCTCGTCCGTCATGCGCTCTGTTGAACAGTTCAGCCTTTGCACTGATTTTGATGCGAAACGTGGCGTCACTAGACAAGCTTGCAAGATGAGACGGACTTCCGGAGCAGCTGTGAGTGTTCCCTGCCCCTCTCTCCTCCTCGTTCTCCCAGCGGAGCCGGAGCCGTGAGGTCTCCAAGCGCGCACCACACCTGGAAATGGGCCGGCGTGGAGGCTGCCTGCGTGTGGCTGAGCAGGTTCTCAGCGTCCTGGTCGTTCCCCCCCAGAGGGCAGTGCCCTCAGAGTGTGGGGCTTGCTGAGACCTGAGGTGGCCATGCACCTACCTCAGGGGTTCTGGTTTCTGTGTTAGGTCACCGAATCTGAACTCCCATAGGTGCAAGGGTGCTCCCATTTTACAGGCAAAGCAATGGAGGCATTTACTGGTTAAGTAGTTTATTTCCCTACACTTTTAAGAAGCAAAACTGAGATTGAGGGCCGTGTTTATGGCCCAAGCCCTGATCTTTAGACTGTTTACCTTAGAAGATCAACCTGATCTCCCCTGTCTCATGTTCTAAACACCCTTCCATCGAGTCAGTCACGACTCATAGCCACCCTCCGTGGGTTTCTGAGCCTGTGCGTCCAGTAGAAAGACCAGTCTTCCTACCGAGAAACTGATGGGTGGTTTCGAACTAATGACCCTGAGGATCGCAGCCCAACGACACCACCAGGGCTCCTATGTCTGAACAGTGCACCTGAAAAGCAGCATTGTGGAGGCTCCTAGGAGCCCCGGTGGCATGGTGGTTATGCCTTGGGCTGCAATCTGCAAGGTTGGCAGTTTGAAAACCACCAGCTGCTCCACAGGAGAACGATGGGGCTTTCTACTTGAGTTAAAGAACACAGTCTCAGGAACTGCCAGGGGCAGTGTGGGTCGCTGTGAAATGGCGTCGACTCGGCGGCAGTGAATTTGTTTTTGTTTTGTTCTAGTCCCATAAAGAGGTACAGTCTCAGAAACCCACAGGGCAGTTGTCCCTGTCCTGTAAGGTCACCACGCGTGAGTCAGCATCGACTCGATGGCTGTGAGTTCGGTGATGGAAGTTCAGGGATGGGGTGCTAGTCTGGGTAGACTAAAGAAACAAATTCATAAACACTCCTTTTATGAGAGTGTTTTATAAAGGGTAATTGTACATTAAGCATCCCAACCCAGTATTGTCCAAGCCCATAGGTCCGACATTAGCCCATGTGTCTGACATCAATCTGCAAAATCCTCCTCAAACGGTTAAAACACATGCAATGACACCGACTGCAGGAGGAAAGCTGAATCTGTGAGCGTGGTGTAAGCATCTCAGCGCTGGCAGGGGTCTCCGCTGAGCTGCTCCAGCACCCAGGGCTGCATCAGGGTAGGCCCATGTGGCTTCTCCTCAGGGATGTCTCGCAAGAAGTGAGTCTTCCCAGCTGAGGCAGAGAATGAGCCAAGGCAGCTGCACACGGGTCTGACCATCAGAGAGCAAGAGACCAGACAGGCGAGGCTTGCCGAGCCATTGTCTCCCGGCCCTTCAATTAATCCCACATGTGTTCACTGGCCAGGTTGCCACGATAAACCTTAACGATCAGAGATGGCTTCTCAGAGCAGGCCATTTAGATGGATTTGTTAAGACGATGAAAGGTCCACAGTGTACCACAGGTTGAAAGCGATTCCATTGTGACACACTTAGAGTTGTGTATTAACACACTTAGAGTTGTGTATAAACAATACTCCCCGCCCATTCTATCAATTCCACTAAATATAGCCTGATCTGCTTTGTGAATGTGTGAGAAAATCCCTCCCCCGACCTTACCCCACCTCCACCCCTTGCTGGGTTTTGCCAAATACCCAGAAGATGGTTGTTCTCAGTTGCCCCTGAGTCGATGCCAATTCATAGCGACTCCGTGCCCGGCAGAGACAGAGTGAAATGCTGCCCCATCCTGTGCCCTGCGTGCAGTCTCTGCCACGCCCATCCATCTGCCTGAGGCTCTTCCTCTTTTTACACCAACCCTCTACTTTACCAAGCCAGACCTCCTTCTCCAAAGGACTGGCCCTTGGATCAACATGCCCAAAGGCCGTTTTCCCATCCTCGCTTCCAAGGGGCATTCTGATCCAGAAGCATCGTTCATGGTAAGAACCGAGACGCTCTTCCGCCCTGTGTTCGGACAGGGCAGCCCCCAAACAAAGAAGACCTCGCTGCTAATACCTTCGTGCCACCAGTGCTGGGTCCCCTGTGAACAGCCTCTGCCCTCCTATCCCCAGGCGCCCTCTTCGTTCCTAAAAACTGACCTTGGTGAACAGTCCATGGTTTCGACAATGAGACAGACGGACGCATTTCCACTTACTGACGTTTATTAGGTACAAAGAAAGGGCTCTGCAGAGATAAACATCAATAAATATAAAATACTTATGAGAGGTTGGGATGGGGCAGGGAAGGTCACAGCCTCTCGCATCGGCGAGAATATGCGGGGATGGTTGAATGCCTCTAGGTATGGACTTCTGATCAGGGGGTTAAGTTGTAATACTGTCAGGGAGGGGGTGGTGATGGGGGGCTGCAGCGAATGAGTTCCAGAGCCCATGAGCTCGGTGATGGGTCTCTGGAAGGGATGTGAGGCCGGATTCCTGAGATTTCTCCCTTGTGGTGACTTTTGGTGCCTGCTCTTCCCTTCCCCTATCCTTTTTTAATTTCCACCCGGCAGTGCGGCGCATGTGTGGATCAGCACCCTGCCGGGGTAGGCGCTCTACTATGCGGGTGGGTTGCCTTTGTCTAGAACCTCCTTAATCATGATAAGTAAAACCTTCGTGATCATGTTACCCAACTGGGAGGGACGTGGAATGGACACTAAGAAGTTCTGACCTTTTGGAAACATTCCAGAAGCAATTCAGCAGAGCAGTTATGTTCAGAGCTGACGGCCTACAAAGGCTGCTTTCCCGTCGATTTAGGGGGGACAACTTGGCATGGCTTGCTCCCGGGGAAGGGAGCTTAACCCTGCTCCATTGCTGCTACCTGGAGAGGAAGCACGGTGGGCAGTGATGTAGGAAGCCGGAGACAGCAGCTAGGTTTCTGCCCTGTGCTCGCCCAAACCTGCCCAGACAGCGGCCTTTTCTGGATGGCACGGACTGGGGACACGGGGTAGCAGTAAGGTGTGTGGACGGTTCCGATTCAAACTTATTTTTTTCTTGTATTCACTTTTCCTCCCTCCTTACTTCTCCTCTCCCCGGTCTTTGAGTCTGGAACCATTCTGAACACAATCCAAAGACCAGCTGCGTGCTTCGATGTTCGACTCCTTCCTCTGACCCAGAGAGGCCTGGTGGCACCGTGGGGTACATGGTGGGCTGCCAACTGCAAGGTCTGTAGTTCGAGCCTCACCAATGGCTCTTGGGGAGGAAGAGGGGGCTTTTGACTCCCGTGAAGAGTCACTGTTTTGGAAACCCACCGAGGGGAGTTCTACCTTGAGTGGGAAGTGATTTGATGCCAATGGATTCTGGGTCCCACCCAACCCTTCCCTCCAAGGGTGGGGAACATAGGGTGCAAGCAATCCACACTCTGTTCCCAGGCCAGCTCTAGAAAGAGAGTGAGAGGCGAAGTCCCCGGTCATCTTGGCCCTTTCCATAGCCAGGGGTGAGCTACCATCACAGGGACGGGGCAGCTGTCAGCCAACTCCTCCTTAGAAGGGAGCTAAGGCTTGCCAGATGGGTAAGTTCCCCGTTGGCGCTGTGGGTTAAGTATGGGGCTGCTCAGAAGGTCAGCAGTTCAAACCCACTCCCCTTTGAGGGGCTGGGGCTGGGAGTGGGGGCAGGACAAGGCTGCTTGCTCTGGTGAGAGTGGACAGGCTTAGAAACCCGGCTGAGGGTTGCTGGAGTCGGCTGACCCTGGCAGGGGAGTCAGCATTTCTTAAGGTTTTGCTTTATCACTGTTTTGGTCTTCACCTTTCCACGTCCTATTTTCCATGCAAATCTTACATTCCGGGTGGGGGTGGGGGTGGGGGAGACCTCTGAGATAAAAATAGTGATTTACTATGCATTGCCTATATTTCTAACCGGCAGGGAAAATACCGAAATACCATACAGTTCACCTCAGCCTGATTACAAGGATGGGGATGGGGCTTGCGAGGGGGCAGGATGGAAATTCACCATGGAGAACTGGGCACAAGGGGGCTGTAAACAGTTAAATCATTGGCTACCTGTAGGATGAATCCATTATCAAAGGGACCCTGGGGCATCAGTCGAGGGGCCAAGCCCCCTCCTGCCTTGATTTTGTGTCATATTTACATTCGGAAGCAAAAAAATTCCCTGTCCTGAGAGACAGGTGCGAGCATGGAGTCTCGTGCGTCGGAGGCTTCATGGCGGTATCATCGGTGTGGGGGCCGGGATACATGACTCGCTCTGAGCTGCATCCGTCGTAAGGCATTGTTTGTCTGAGTTTGCATTGGGTGCAACGAGAATAAAGCCATGCCAGTCAGAAGCTGCTGTGGATGCTGTGGCTTGGGGACTACCTGGAGATGAAGGTCTCCTTCTAAAAATGCTTCAGAATCTAGGGAGGACCAGCCTGTGAGAACGCGCACGCACACAAACACACACACAGTCATGGAATGGACGCTAAGGGCTGGGGCTCTATATGTCCTGGTCAATGACTGCCAGGCACTTTTTTTTTAAAGGAGAAAAATTGGTTTCGTTTTTAAATTAGGCAAATAAAAGTTGACTACAACACTGATTTAAAGCCTGTGCAAACCGCCTATTTACAATAAAGAAATGCTTCGGCAGAGCTCGTATGCCAACTGAAGTGCCTGGTGAGTGAGCTGGGGGCTGGCACGATATCCCGGGGCTCCCCGGGCCTGGCTTCCTCTGCCGTCTCACCGCAGCGTCTTCAGCGGGAGCTGTGGAAACACAGGGAAAGATGATGGGCGTGGGGCTGGCAGGGGCTGGGCATACACGAGCCCACCCAATGACTGGGCCCCATTGCTCTTCCCGAATGCCAGGCGCTGTGGGCTGGAAGACAGCTCCATCATTAGCAAGGAGCTCATTTTTTACCCAGGGGGTCATGGGTGGCAGAGAGATGAAATGAGGCTCCGGAGGACCTAACACCCATGTTTTATCATTTTGCTGTGATAACTATATAAAACATTTGCCAACTCAACAATATTTTACATGTAAAAGTCTGTGACATGGTTACATTCACAGTGTACAACTATCACCGCTATCAGTTTCCAAAGTATCCCATCACCAGTGGCCCTGAAGCCATGACGCTCCCTTTGTCCCTCTTTCCCTCCGCCCCTCTCCCCACCGGTCACCAGTACTAAGTTTTGGTTCTGTATATTTGCTATGTCATATAAAGAAGGTAATAGAGGTGTTTTTTTTGAGTGACTTATTTCCCTCAGCATGTTTTCCCAAGGCTCATTCATTCCTATTGTGGTGTGTATCAGTAGTTTGTTCTTCTTCAGTGCTGTGTAATATTCCACAGTATGCATATACCGCATTTGGTTCTCCATCTGTTGATGGGCATGTCGGCTGTCTTCCCTTTTTGGCTATTGTGAGCTGTGCTGCATGGAGCATTTGGGCACATGTTTCTGTTTGCATTCCCGTTCTCTGTGCTTTTGAGTAAGTGCCTGGTGCTGGGCTTGCTGAGTCATATGGTAACTCGATATTTAACATTTTGGGGCGCCACCAGATTGTTTTCCACAGCAGCTGGTTAGTTTTGCATCCCCACCAGCAATGGGCGAGAGTTTAATGATGTCATCTAAACATATGTAGCATCCCCATATTCATGTACTAAGATGCTCAGGAATCGTCGGGCCTTTGATGGTGATCCCAAGACAATGCACTGTTAAAGAGAATGTGCAGGGGCCACGATTTATGTAATGCAGCCCTTCTAGCCAAAGTCTCTGTGACTCCCACCAAACCACCGCTCCCTGCATTGGTCTGGGCAAGAAGGTAGGGGAAGACATGGTGATGGCCACGTTGGTGGGTAGAGAGTGAGCCCTCTGAGAAGCAAGAGGGGGGGATTTTACTACCAGCAAGAGCTAAGAATGGAGCATGGCCACTGGATCGGGCACCATGGACCATCTTGATCCAGAAGACAGCTGTGCCATCAGGGGAGTGGCCGAGGAGACGAAGCAGCAGCAGAGCCAGCAATCAGAGCACCAGACAGAGTGGTGGACTTCCCAGCCCACAAAGCAAATATATGGTGCTTGTGGGCAGGAGGCTTGTGCAGTGGGGTGCCAGTTAAGGATGGGCACTTAATTGGGGGAGCTGACCTTGCTGAGCCAGGGAGCTTGAGCGGCATGCCTTTGGGTTGAGGCTGACTTGGGAGTGGCATGCTCTTTGGGCTTTGATTGGCAGTCTTGAAGCCACTTTGTCACATGCCCTGACTGAACATCTCTATCCTGAGCATGTTTCACCTGCTTTGTAACCTGTTAGCGTCCTTCATAAGCCTGTACTCGTGACCGCCGCCTGTGTGTTCTGGTGGCCACTGCAATGAGTGATAGGACTGGGATGGAAACACAGATGTTGCTGGAGATAGAACACAGAACGGGACACAGGTGTTCACATTTCTACTGCCAAACTCCCACTCACGCGCCGATCAGTTGTGTCCTGGGTCCGTACGCCTCCCTTGGTGCATTGCTTGCTTTGACTAGAAACCTGTGATTTCTCTGGGCCGTTGCTTTTTGCCTCAGTGAAGTCAAAAGGCAGTCAGATGTTATCCAACTAGACTTAAAGAAAATGGTTCGACGGAGGGCCTCTCCTCAGAGGCTGTAAAGTCCATCCATTTCAAGTGGCTAGTGGATGGCCACCACGAGGCTGAGGACCAGATCCTCAGTAATGGCCCCAGGAGACTGGTCGTGGGGATGGTTGAGGGTGACAGACACTGACGTTGGTGATTCTAGCATGCCCGGCAGGGCAGTGAGGTCTAGTGACTCAAGAAGCACTGGACAAAGAGCCAGAAGAGCTGGGCATGTGACTTTGGGCACATGACTTAACCCTTGGAGCTTGGTGGGTTTTGTTCTCGTCTAAAGTGGCCATCTAGCCTCGCGTTAGCTCCAGCCAGGATCAAATGAAGAGTTCCAGAACAGGCGAGCTACCTGGACAATGTGAAGGGCCGTCCATGTAAATGTCAGGGTTTCTGATTTTGATGATTATTTTCTGGCTGCACAAGTAATGGTAGAAAACTGGGAACTTGAAGTGCACCAGGAACAAAAGCATCATCAGCCCCAGTCTTTCTGAATGAATGTCTGTTAACAATTTTGTGCATATTCTTCCTGCCTGCCTTTCCTATGCATACAAAGGTCTCCCATAAGCACGCGCGTGTACCTGGTTTCGAACCTGTGAACACTGGAGGAGGAGGATGGCCATGCCTGGGTTGGCAGTATGGAGGGAAGGGGGTTGCGTGTCTTCCAGCAGACGTGCGCTCTCCTCCTCCGGTTCCTTCCCTCACACACCACATCCCTCCAGGCTTGACACAGCTGCAAAGGGCCCCAGGTCCACGCAGCCCACCCTCTCTGTCTCACACAGAACTCGAAAACAGCGGGAGGCCACAGGAGGACCCAATGCAGGTTTTGAAAGAAACAGAGGGTCTTTAAGGAGGAGTCCGAGCGGGCGCTGGGAGATGCCATCTCTGCCTGGGTTAGGGAACACTTCTGGCCACATGGCCTTAATGAAAAATAGCATTTCTTCGGAGTTCACCTTATGCAGTACAAGTCCCTCTCTGGTTTCCCCTCCAGCTTTGTCACTTTCTTCTAGCCACCAAGATTTGAGTACGCTTGAGCAAACTTGGCCCAAACCAATGGTAAATAGCTAAGGACGGAGGATTACAAATAATACATCGCTGTGGAAGCCGATTTGAACATAGAGTTACCATATAGCCCAGCAATTCTACTTCCTGTTATATACCCCAAGGACTTAGAAGCAGGCACTGAAAGAGATGTGCAGATACCAATGTTTATTGCCATGTTGTCTCATAATAGCCAAAAGGTGGAAGCAAGGTGCCCATCGATAGATGAATCTAGGTAAACAAAATGGTACGTGGGTGTGCATATTATATTCCATTGTGGGTGTGCATGGGCACCCCCAATGTAATGCTATTCTTGAACTATCAGGAGAAATGGAGTTTGGATCTGTGCCATGCTGTGGGTGAACTTTGAAAACATGGTGCCGTATGACACAAGTCAGACACAACAGGACAGCTGTTGAATGCGCTCGCTTCTATGAAGCATCGGGAATCGGGAAGCATATAGAATGAACATTTGTCAGGTGGGAGGGGGCTGTGAGGAGGTATTTGCTGAAGGGATACGGCGTTTCTGTTTGGGGTGCTGTGAAACTTGACAACGGACAGTGGAGATAGCTGATTGCACAATATAGTGAATGTAATTAATGTTCTGGAAGGGTTGACTTCAACACGACTAACATGGCAAATGTTCTGTTACAGCTGTTTGATGGAAGGAAAGTGAAAGCCCCAAGGGTCCCAAAGAAAGCCCTGTCTCCTGAGGATGGGCGAGAACAGACTCTCCGTCTGGTGGACGTTCCCGGTCTTTCTCTTGGGCTCCCTGGGACATCATCGTGAGCAGAGACCTGAGGAGTCAGTGGGGTGATTTCTGTGGGTTGAGTCAATGGGGCTTCTGGGCCGACAAACGTGGTGGCGATGAGAGGGAGGCCCCCTTCCATCCTTGAGGTTTATAGACGACGAAACAATCTGGCTAGACCAGAGGATGTATATTGTACAGATAGCAACTGGAAAAAATCCAGGATAGATGACTCCTTCAGACAAGTGGTGAGAGGGGCGAGGCCTGGAGGGTGAAGGGAATGTGGGGTAGAAAGGGGGAACCAATTACAAGAATCTAAGTATAGCCTCCTCCCTGGGGGATGGACAGCAGAGAAGAGGGCGGAGGGAGACATCGGACAGTGTAACTTATGACAAAACTATAATAATTTATGAATTATGAAGGGTTCATGGGTGGGGGGAATAAGCAACTGATATTAAGGGCTAAAGGAGAAGGCAAATGTTTTGAGAATGATGAGGGCAACAAATGTACCTAGGTGCTTGACAAAATGGATGTATGTATGGACTGTGATAAGAATTGTACGAGCCCCCAATAAAATAATTTTTAAAAATGCTCTCCTGGAGGAGAGGGAGTCAGAGGGACAACAAACAGTTGGCTGCTCAGGGGAAAGCATCCTCTTAGCCTTTCAACATGCTTGGAGGAAAATTCCTGGGTTTAACAGAGCCCTGTTACCTGAGAATTTCTGCCTTTGATGTCATCCGGGGGCTGCCCCATCACCTCGGCTGGGTGCCAAGGACCAGGAGTGCGGCCTGAAAGAAAGAGGAACAAGCTCACCATCCACTGGCCCAGGGCTGGCTGACCGCCTTCTCTTCCGGGAAGGAGCTTCAGCTCTGCGACTACCACTTAAAGCAACAGCAAAGGGGCCGGGCCAGGGATCACAAGAGACCCTCTGCCTGAAACCTGTGGGCTTCCTTCTGTGTGTTTCCAGCCCGTCTCCTATGGCACAGAGACGCCGTGCCAGACACGCTTTGGGTGGAACAAATGATTAAGGCCCATCTTCTAAATGCAAGAAATCTGGTGGTGCTATGGGTTAGACAATGGGCTGGCAACCACAACGGCACTGGTTCAAAGCCACTGGCCACTCCCATTGGAGAAAGATGAGGCTTTCTGCATCTGTAGAGATGTATAGCCTAGGAAACCCTGTATAGGTTTGCTATGAGTCGGAATCAACTCAGTGGCCGTGGGCTTATGTAAGTGAAGGAGCCCTGGTGGCTTTAAGGGTTAGGGGATAGGTTGTTAACCTCAAGGTTAGCAGTTCAAATCCACCAGCTTCTCTGTGGGAGGAAGATGAGACTTTCTGCTCCCCTAAAGATGTATAGCTTCAGAAACACCATGAGTCAGAATCAACTTGATGGCAGTGGGTTCAGTTTGGGGAGGTGGCATTTAAATGATGATCCTGCAGGTCCTGGGCAGTGTTTCATTCTATTAAACACATGGTTGCCAGGAGTTTGGACCTACTCCACAGAACCCGATAAGACTATCAGCTAAATGGAGTCCTTTGGTGGTAAAAACGGAGTCCTTTGGTGCTTAGGTACTACCTGAAAGATCGGAGGTTCAAATCTACCCAGAGGCATCTCAGAAGAAAGTTCTGGTGTTCTACTTTGGAAAAATGAGCCGTTGAAAACCTTGCAGAGCACAATGCCCTGACACACATGAGGCATCAGCGCATGAGAATGGGGTCATCATCACTGGTTTGACGACGACTAGTTTCGTCATCTAAATGTACACGAACAACGCAGCAACAGCAACCCGAACCCCGCTGCACCCTCAGCTCCGACTCACAGCGACGACGACGCTGTGGGACAAAGTCGGCCTGCCCTGTGGGCTTTCCAAGGCTCGAACTCTCAGAAGCAGACTGCCTCGTCTTACTCCCATTAAGCAGCTGATGGGTTCAAACCCCAACCTTTGAGCTAGCAGCTCAGCGCTTAATCACTGTGCCACCAGGTCTCTGTCAATGCGTGTCAGTGCGTCTGAGTTCACAGGTGACATCATCTCTGGGCATGCTCATTTGCTCAATATTCCCACCACGCGTCAGGCTGGTTATAAGAGGAGGAGCAGATCTGCTGGCAGAAACCAGGAACCAGTTCCATGAGGATCTAACTCCTCCTCTCTGAAGTACATTATGCTTAACCACGGACACTGATGATAACGCAAACACACCTTGTACTTTCCCTTGGCAAGAGAGACCGAGCAACGTTTGGTGGCCAACCTGTAGGATTGAAGAAGACCCAGGAAGGGTTTACCAGCTGGGCTTGTTAGTAAAGCTGGGTCTCCTTGAGATCCTCTTGGAGCTCTTTCCAGCGTCTAACTGCCATTCCGGGAGCTGTGAAGTGGGGCAGGACAAAGGTGTGTGCGTGTATGTGTGCATGTGTGGTGTGGTGTGGTATGTGTGTGATGTGTGTGTGTGTGTAGGTGTAGAGAATAAAAGACAGAGATAATCAAGAAGAGGGGGACGTCCAGCATGAGCACTGCCTCTGGAAAGCCCGGGCACAGGCTCATCTGGAAGGACCGCCGCTTTCTCCCAGACCATGAAGCCCTGTGTGTGTGTGTGTGTGTGTGTGTGTGTGTGTGTGTGTGTGTTGGGGGCTGGGAGCAGGGAGGTCAGCAGTGAGCAGGGGAGACTGTAAGGAGCAAGGTAACCAGACAGGTACAGCCCACATTAGACTCACACTGACGTCATCAACAGGTCCATCCAGGTGACAGGGACAGGATCAGCTACTTTTGCCAGGAGACCAGTGGGGCACGCCATGTCCACCCAGGCTACATCAATCTATGACCCTATCCCATTTTGAAGTTGCAAACGCCCTCTAGTCTGCAGGATGATGGTTCATTGAATAGGGTTTTGCTTTGCCTTTTAAATGGCTTCTTCCTGAATGCCAGGACGTTCTTGGTATGGGCGCCCATTTGGGCACTTCTTGGAGCCGGGAGGCTGCCAGCAGTGTGCCCTCCCACAGGGCCATGTGGGGTGACGGGCACAGCCTCTTTCTGAGTCTCAGGCTCCAAGAGCTCAAAACCACACTCACCTCATATGTCAGTGTATCACATCCGAAGGTTGGGGACCCCTCAGAACATTGCTGTGCAAGGCTGCACAAGGGAATGAGGGTCCTTGTCTGGGATGGTTGGGGCAGGGATCAGCAAAATACAGTCAAACTCATCTTGGCATAGAAAGATTGTTGGGACACAGATACCCTTGCATTTAATACCAAGTGGAAAATTGGAATGGAAAGATAATGGAATTTGTCCACGACTTATTTTTTGAAGCTCCTTTATCTTGTCCATACAGGAGCCCTGGTGGCATGGTGGTTACGAGTTGGCCTGCTAACCCCAAGGTCAGCAGTTCGAAACCACCAGCGGCTCCTCAGGACAACGATGCGGCTTTCTACTCCCGTAAAGAGTTCCAGCCTCAAAAACCCGCAGGGGCAGTTCTACCCTGGCTCATAGGTCACGATGTGTTGGCATCGACCGGAAGGCAGTGAGTGGGTATATCCTCCGTGGCTGGCCTTACAATACAACAGTGAGGCCGAGGAGCGGCAACAAAGGCCAGATGGCTCCCAAGTGCTAAACGAGTTAGCCACTGGCCCTGTACAGGAAACGTGGGCGGACGATTGGTTGGAGTTGTTGTTAGAAGGCAGTTGTCGGTGGTCAGCATGGAACCCGTGTGACAGAGTACCACTGGCCCACAGAATTCTCTAGGACACCATCCTCCCTGGGGCAGATCAGTGGGGCTTTTACTGTGTTGCTGAGGAGCGGGTGTGAACTGCCAACCTTTCGGTTAGCAGCGGAGTGCCTCACTTCTGCGGCACCCGGGCTCCTCTGCTTTAGAGTCTGGGCCACCAACTCCGATTTCTCTAGAGACCGTCTGAGGCGGGTCAGAGGCCTCCCTAGTTGGGAGTCGGGGACACCACACCTCACTCCAGGTTGACTCTGTTCATTGTTCTAGAGGTGCTATAGCTCCTCGGATGGGTCTACACAGGGATGCGACTGGCTCATGCCACCGAGAGGCAGGGAGCCCGGCGTTGTGCGCGGCTCGTTAGGCTGCTAACCACGAGATCAGCAGTTCAACCACCAGCTGTTCCACAGGAGAAACACGAGGTTTTTTGCTTCTGTCAAGATTCTACGGCCTGAGCCACCTCTGAAGGCTCTACCCTGTCCTGTGGGGTCGCTGTGGCTGAGACAGACTCAATGGCAGCAGCTTCCTTTTGGTTCATGCTGTTGAAGCTTCTGCATGAACTTGGGCTTGGAACGAAGAAATGCACCGAGGGTGGACGGCAGCCCCGTTCACTCTCTGGTGCCAGAAGCAGGGCCTGGAGCCACGGCTTCAATTGGACCCCTTGCTGAGGATTTGCTCCCCCTCCACCCACCCCCGAGAGATTGACAATCATCTTCTACATTTTACCAAGCTCTCTGAGAATCACCTGGGCATCTTGTTAGAAGGTTGATTCTGTTTCGGTAGTTCGGGCTTGGAGTTAGAAAGGCCCATTCTCAGCAGGGGCTGGGACCCAAATGAGGCAATGGGAAGCCCAGGCCAGAAGATGGGGTGGCCTGCTCGCAATGGTCCCCAGGGGGGCTGCGGAGTCCATCTGGTCTCCTCTCGGGCCTCTGCGGCCTTGTGGACCTGCTCCTCGGGATTGTCTGGGCGCTTCTCTTTTCAGGACCCTCGGGGGCATAGTGGTTACTCCGGATGGGGGGTGGGAGCGGCAAACAGACAGGTCAGCGGATCTTTCCACAAGCAGATTGCCAGGCTCCTATGCAGCCGAGCTCACTGGCTGGGGTGGTATTCAAACCGCAGACCCTTCCATTAGCTGCCAAGTGCCATGTGTGAGCGCTGTGTCCTCACAGGGTGGCAGTACACCCCCAGCCAGTCTCTGGACACGCAGAATCTGTGCCAACCAGCGCACAGAATGCATCCACTATGGGTGGGTCTTCCCCAGGGGGTACTTACTTCTGGGGATCTTGCTGGGGTAAATCTTCTGGCACGGTTTATATTCATCCGGGGGAGGAAAGTCTTCCTCAGAATGGAAGGTGAATTTAGACTCAAAGTCATCTGCAGACATGGGAAATGGTAAAGTTTATTCCTGGGGGAGGGCTCTCCTGGTGAGGCCTCTGCCCCCACCCTGGGTCTCTAGCCACCTCCATCGCTGCTGGTTCCCGAAGACCAGGGGACGCAGGGGAGTGACAGGGCAGACTGTCTCTGCCCTTCACCCACCCTCAGCTGACTTCATCCAGTGTCTTGCGGGAACACAGGGCTCCCCATAACCCAGAGCTCAAGGTGGGGAGCTTGGTAGCTCCACACAGACCTGCAGAGTCCCCGCGACATACACACCCCTTGGACCCGTGGAGGGGAGCAGTGTGGGGCCGGAGGCAGAACATCAGTCCTCAGCTTGGTCGTGAGGTCAGACTGGGGCTCCCCAAAGTCCACGGGTTCTCCCAGAGCACCAGAATGTGGGAGAGGCGGAGGCTTATGGGCCTTTCCTGGCTGTGTCCCCGCTTCGTGGTCTGCCACGGGGTGTGTCTGGTAGCCCAGCACACACAAAGACCGGAGACAGTGCCTGTCTCTGGCTCGTCCAAAGTTTGGCTCTAATTGTCTCCCTGTCCAGAGGGCTTTCCTTCCACCCCTTTACCTTCTCCCTGGTCTTTCAGCTGATGAACTTGTTTCTCCATGGCAGACAGACAGACACGCAGACAAGTACACACACACACACACACAAACGTTTAAATGTTTGCCGTCCACCCTCTAATTAGCGTGAAGGGTGTTTTAAGTCACTTGCTCTCCTTGTTGCCAGCAGAGCTCAGCGATGTGGCTCAGAAGGCTGGGGGGTGGGCCCTGATTCTCCCCAACCCCTGGGGAGACACCCTACTGAAAAGCATAAGGAGGTGACTATGGGCTACAGCGAGCTGCCTGTTCTTCAAGAAGCACCCCAACATGGCAGCCCGGGCCATGCTGGTGTACTCTCTCGGGAGGCCAGAGGAGCGCACAGCCCCCTTGGCTGCCCTGTAGGGAGTAGGCTCCACCTACCCAAGATGTGTAAGCTTCCGTTTCTCAGCTGCTGGGTCGGGGTCCAGGCTGGGGCCTGCTGGCTCTTGCTCGAGAGCTCCGTGGTGGGGGATCTTGCAGGGGGAGCCGGGGGCGGATTTAGCTTCCCCCCACTGGTCCCTTGTAAAGAAGAGAAGCATGCATTCAGATATGGAGGGAGAAGGAAAGTGTTATAACCGATGTGAGTTATACAATATGGTGAGTGAAGACCTGACTGTGGAGCCAACCTTCTTGGGACTGAATCTCACCTTCCCATGCGGGCAAGTAACATCACCTCTTTGTGCCTAATCTCCTCGGGGTGCTGAGATGATGATGAAATGAGTTGATTAAGTGGCATGAGATCAGTGCTCAGTAAATGTGACCTGCTGTTCTATTACTAAGGACGGGGAGGCCCCTCAGCAGCCCACTGAAGACCCTCCCTTCTCCTTCCGGTCAATCTAAGTCCACCCAGCCACCACCGCCCACCACCAGACCTGCCTTGTACACTCAAATGTGCCCCCCACCCCATGGCTCCCTTGGGAGACTTCCTCGCCCTTTGCCACTTCCGTTCTGCTGGACTCATTTGGCAACCAGTTCTCGCTGACATCGCAATCCTCGCTTCGCTTCCTGCAATGAAGGTGATTACACCGGTAATATCTGTGCCACGAGGCTCACGAATACAGCCTCGTTCTGCCCCTCTAATTGGGCGGAAGCAGAAACCACACTCATTTCAGACATGGGAAGTCTAAATGCAACGGTCAGATTCATAAATAAAGAGGTCAGGCGAACGTGCATCCCCAGGCGCCGGTCCACAAAGTGGCAGGTGGTTTCCAAGACCTGGGAGCATCTCGGTTCCTCCCCTCCCTCAAGTCCTCACCCATGGACTGGTCTCTGGTCCCAGCCTACTCTCCTCCCCTTCCCCCAACACGATTTGGCCTTCCCTTCCTAGATACCAAGATCCCCAGGGAGCTATGTGTCTCTAAAGGGCTTCCCTGGAGACCGTAATTGCTAACTGAAAGGTTGGGGGAGCAGGTCTACCCCGCGGTGCCTTGGAAGAAAGGCCTGGTAATCCAAGTCGGAAGAATCAGCTCTTGAAAATCCCAAGTCGTTCTACTAGGACATACTTGGGGACACCGTGAGTTGGAATCCACTGTATGCAGCTGGTTTCCAGGAACTGAAGGAGTTAATGGATGGCCCCTGCACTGGACAGGAAGCTGGCCCTTCACGTGGCGGGGAAGGAGGAAAGGCCGTCACGCTGCCTCATCCCATTACCTTGTTGTGGCTGTTAGGTGCCTTCAGGTGTCCTGACCCAGAGTGACCCGGGACCCCGTGTACAACAGAATGAAAGAGCCTGGTCCTGCGCCATCCTGACGCTGTCTTAGGCCTGAGCCCACTGTCGCCGCCACTGTGCCCATGTCTCATTGAGGAGCTTCCTCTTTCTTGCTGCCCCTCTACTCTACCAGGCAGGACGTCCTTCTCCAGGGACTGGTCTCTCCTGATAACATGTCCAAGGCACGTGAGACAAAGTCTCGCCATCCCTGCCTCTAAGGCTCCCATTAACTTAGAGCTAGCTTAAAGGATGGATGAAAAGGTCAGCTCTTGGAGTTAGCACAGTGTTTCCCAAAGCAGTGGTCCAGCCCCCTTGGGGGTGCTAGAATTATCTAGGGGGAGGGGCTGCAAAAGCAAATACATACACTTAATCCTAGATTATGGACAAATGTTTTCATTCTTCTGGGGCCATGGAATCATTTTTGTTTTCTGGAAAGGGGGGCAGTAGGCCAAAAACGTTTGGAAACCTATGAGCGGCTGATCACGCACCCTGTTGGCACGCATCGGACTGAAAGCTTGCGTGCTGAGGGCAGGGTGTACACTTAACACTGAAGACCCCACGCCGTGTGAGACCTCAACTTCAGGAGCGAGTATGTCGACGACAGCTCTACAGTCTTCTCCTTCTAACAGAAATTCAGCCACTTTCTTCCTTTGTCAAGGTTGATGACTTCCCTCCCTGACTCCTCCTGGAAGTCCTTCTGACTTTCCTTACAGCGTTCGATCAATTTGAAAACGATTGTTGCCAGTCTTCAATGACTTGGGAAAATGCCCATTGTCTTAGGTTTAAAAAAAAAAAGTAGTATTAGCTCTGATCCAAAAATATTCGTTGTTCCCCATGGCCTAAAGAATGTATATATAAAGCCACCCTAAGGAGACCCAGCGGGTCACTGAGCGCATGTGCCGGCAGTCATCCACTGTGGATGCATGGGTAAATCTGCTGCACAAAACGTCTCTAAAGTTTGAAAAGCGAGGCTGTTCCACGTTGAGCACTAAGTACACCTGACCCAAGCCAGGCTACTTTCAATCACCTCGTATGCAGGTGAGAGTTGGACATGGAATAAGGCAAATCGAAGAAGAATCAGTGCATTTGAATTATGCTGCAGGCAACAGATCCTGAAGGCACCCGGACTGCCCAAAGAACACGCAGATCTGTCTCGGAAGAAGCACAGCACGCGTGCTCCTGGGAGGCAAGGATGACCAGGCTTCATCTCACGTGCTTTGGGCATGTCGTCAGGGGAGACCGGTCCCTGGAGAAGCACGTCATGCTTGGTAAGGTGGGGAGCAGCAGAAAAGAGGGGAGCCCTCCACAAGATGGATTGATATGGTGGCTGTGACAATGGTCTCAAATATAAGAGCGATTATAAGGCATGGGGCTGGGCAGTGTTGCGTTCTGCGGTACACAGGGGAACTGTGGGATGGGACTGATGGATGGCACCTAGCAACAACAGGTACTTTGTGACTGCTACTCATGTAAGTGTTCACATGTTTATGAGTGTGTTTGGGCATGTGGATTAATGTGTACGTGTGTGAGAATGAATGCTGTATGTCCAGGTGTATGGAGATGTGTATGTATGTTCCTATGATGTGTTTGGGGATGCGTATGTGTGTGTCTACAGGGTGTGTTTTCAGTGGGCTGCAGCATCTGCTGGTGAAGGTTCTCAGTGTCCTTCATAACAGAAGGGCAGGTCACATTTATGTGTGAGTCTGTGTGTATGCATGAGTGTGCATTCGGGCACGTGTGTGCATATGTAGTTTGCATGTGGGTGTGTTTATGAATGGGGATGAAAGGATGGGTGTGTATGAGTTTGTATGGAGGTGGATGGGTGCTTGAGAATGCGTGTGTATGGGAATGGCTGTGTGAGTGTGTGTGTGTACATGGGGATGTGGAGATATGTGTCTGGAAGTGGCTGTGTGTGTGTGTATGTGTGTGTGTGTAGGGGGAATGCAGGTGTGTGTAGATTTGAGTGCCAAGGGTGAACAGAGCCTCCCTTCTACAGGGAAATCAGTCCTGAGGACCTGCACTCAATTCAAAATCCACTGGCAGCTGGAAATATGAAAGAATGTTTCTTAATATGACTCAAAATAGAGCCCCTCACTGTTCTCAAGCCAACTGTAGAACTGCCAAGAATAAGGCAGAACGTGAACCCAATCTACTGACAGAGCCAGCCTGAAATAACTCAGGCAAAGATGCAGCAGGAGGCTTTGTTCTGGAAATGACCTGCACCCCCGGCCCCCCCCATCCTGCAGCTCAGAGCGGGAGTCCCCAACAGTTCTCTGGTGCTCTGCTCCAAGCACCTTCCACAGGTGACCTTACTCAGTCCCCACAGCCCCCACATGCGGTGGCATAGCTGCCCCACTTCACCGACGACGTGGAGGAAGCATGGAGAGGCTGAGTGATGCCCAGGAGCACACAGCTCGGAGTTGGAGAGGGAACCAAGGCTGCGTGTTCAAGGACAAGTCTCTTAGCCTCCCTCAGCTTCTTGTCTCTAAAACGCAGGCCTCAACAGTGAAGCCCGCACAGCTGCACATTTTCACTGTGCCCTAGGTGGGGCGCCTAGCTGCTCACTCGCCTCTGGCTGCACCAGGATTCCAATGAGCCCTGCCGCTGCCACTGCTGCCCTTGCCCTGGGCTAGAGGGGGCCGCTTACCTGGGCCTCGGCCCGGTCTCTTCTTCTGCAGGAACTGAGGTCCCGGAGGGGCTGGTGGTGCGGGCAGGGCCTGCACCGCGGGCTTCTGGGGCTGAGCCTGGAAGCTAGGAGACTTGGGGGGCAGTGGGGGTGGTGTTTCACTGCTGCTGTTTGCACCTGGCAGAGGGGGTGCAGGCACAGAAGACCGAGGGGGGCAGGAGGCATAGAGGGGGAGCGAGGAAGGCAGGGGTGGAGGAGCTGGAGGGACTGGGGGCTCCCGAACATCTTGGGTGGGGCTTGTAGCCTCTGTATTGAGCCCTGGATACCCACAGGGTGGGAGGAGGGGGAGTGGGGGTGGGATGGGTGGGAGGTGCAAGGG